TTTGATGGATCAGCCTTTCCAGAGAAAGTTCATAATGAGAAGAACTCATCTGAAGAAGGAAGAAGAAGTTCATAATGAGAAGAATTTGTTCAACCTTTTACCTGAGTCCATCATTTGATGGATCAGCCTTTCCAGAGGAAGTTCATAATGAGAAGAACTCATCTGAAGAAGGAAGAAGAAGTTCATAATGAGAAGAATTTGTTCAACCTTTTACTTGAATTCATCAATTGATGGATTATCTTTTCCAGAGAAGTTCATAATAAGAAGAACTCATCTGAAGAAGAAAGAAGAAGTTCATAATAAGAAGAACTTGTTCAACTTTTTGCATAATTCTATCACAGAAGGAGATAGATTAGCATCAGCCTTTCTAGAGAAAGTTCATAATGAGAAGAACTCATCAAGAGCTTATTCAACCTTTTGAATGACTCTATCACAGAAAGGAGGTCATCATTATCCCCAGCAGAAAGTTCATAATAAGAAGAACTTATTTGGAGAGAGAGAAGAATTTATTCAATATCTCCATTATGATCAAAGTAAAGTCAAATGGATAAAAAATTTTATTATCTTTTCATCTTTGCCCTATTCTTGTTAACACAAGAATGAGCAAAGAGGGGCAGCTGAAGATACTAATTTTTTTATCCATATTTATTATTATTATATTATTATTATTATTATTATTATTATTATTATTATTATTATTATTATTATTATTATTATTATTATCATTATTACTATTATTATTAAATATTAAATACATATAAATTACAGACCAATTACAACTGGACCGACCCAGTTACAAACCAACCAGAACCGGTCCAAATCCAACCAGAAACCCTAAATATTTGGGTTTCCAGTTAGGGTTTCCTAACCCTAATTTACCCAGCCGCCTCAGCTCACAGCCGTTGGATCTGGCAAGATCCAACGGACCAGATTGCCCCAGATGGAAACCCTAGGGTCTGATACCCTAGGGACACGCGGCCGCCGTTGCTATCTCGCCGCCTCCGCCGCTGCCACGTCCCAACCGAAGACTCCAGAAGATAGAATACCAGCCGTCCACGCCATGGCTACTCGGTGAGTCACCACTGGTAGTCCGGTGACTCACCGAGACCCCATCTTCAGACCGGTCCGACGGCCACACCGGTGGTGGCTATAAAAGCCACCACCCCAACCTGAAAAAAAAAAAAGAGACAGAGACACAGAGACAAAAAAAAGGGAAAAGAAAAGAAACAACAGAAACAGAGAGAGATACAAAACTACCAACGATCCCAGTCCACAACAACAGAGCAAAACAAAAACAGAAGGAAAAAGAGAGGAGAGAAGCTTACCAAGGAAGCCTTGACCATCGCCGAAGCACTAAACATCGCCGGAGAACCGAAAATACCGAAGGTATTTTCATAGATTTACTCCGATTAGGAGTCTTTTTGGGGAAACAAAGGTTGGATTCGGTCTTAGGGTGTTCAGATCTACGTTTTAGGTGAATTTGGGGAATTTCCGACCACCGGAGGCGGTGGTCGGCGGCAGAATTCACGGCGGCAAACGGCTGCCGGATTCCCTCCGGTGAGGGAATCTAGAGAGAGGCCAGAGAGAATTCTGGCTCTCTCTCTGCTTGAGAGAGAAAAAAAAAAGGAAATGAAATGGCTGGCCCTTCGGGCCAGCCGATTTGGACCATATATAGTCCTTCCCGAACGACGACGTTTCGGGAAGGACTATGCGCGTAATTATATAATAGTTAAAACCCGTCCGCAGTCCTCCGAACTTGTAAACTTTACATTTTAGTCACTAAATTAAATTTATAATATTTTTAATTCAGTCTTCGAATTTTAATTTCTTTTATTTTAGTCCTTCATATTAAAATAATATATTTAGGATAAATTACAGATTTAATCCCTTAATTTTAATAAATATTTTAATCCCTAGTTTATATTTTTAATTTATTTGATTCTAATATCCAAATTTTAGATAATTTTATTTTAGTCACCAAATAAATAAAATAAGGAAATAACATATTAAATCCCTATAATTTTGATTAATTGTGAATTAGATTTTTAATTTTATTTTTATTATAATTTAGTCAGTTATTTTATGTTTTCATTTATTTTATTGTTTTTAAATATATTGTCTTAGTAGTATTTGTATTTTTATTTTATTATATTGTTAAATATTTTTATATTCATAAATATATAATAAATAGTAATTGTTAAATATTTATTTTTAATATCGAAGAAAAGGACAGTCTTAATACAACTGGATGTCCTATTCTGATATTTTAAAATTAAAAAGTAAACAATATTATTTAAATTAATATTTATCAATATCAAAGAAAAGAGCTGTCTTAAGGCACCTAGAAGTTCTTTTTCGATATTTTTAAATAATAATATTTTTTTTTATAATTTTGAAATAATAGAATTATAAATTAAATATATTTTTGAATTTTTAAAATTTTAATAATAGAGACAATTTATAATTAAAAAGTACCAATTTTGGGTGTTGTAGGGGTGCTAATCCTTCCCTAAACGTAACCACGAATCCCTTTTTATTATTAAAAAGAATGAATTTTTGGTTATAAACGCAGATCAGTTTATTTTTTTTAATTGGTGTTTTATTAAAACTCTTTTAAAAAAAATAATTTTTAGGTATTCGACCTACCTGACTCAAAAGGCCGATGGCGACTCCCAAATTATTTTCAAAACCATTTATTCACATCACTTTTCCCGCCAAACAAATAAATTCGTGCCCGGACGAAAACCGGTTACGACAGGTGTATTAGTGCAAGACAACCCCATGTCAACAAGAAGCGCACGAATCCATGTAACATCAAAGACAACATCGGCTATACCACAATATTCAGCCTCAGTGGTTGACCGAGATATCCTTTAGAAGCCCAAGAAACAAGATTCTCTCCAAGAAACACACAAAATCTAGAAATCGAACGACGATCATCAGCATTGCTAGCCCAATCAACATCGAAAAAGGCTTCCAAATTAAATCTCATAGCATTCTTGCGAAAAATCAACTCAAAGTCAAGGGTGTCATTTAGGTAGCGTAAGATACGTTTAACAGCTATTCAATGTTGTTCACAAGGCTCATGTATGTACTGAACAAATTAACACTAACAGCAATGTCGAGACGAACGTGATTCAAGTAAAGAAGTGCTCCAACAACACTCCTATATAAGGAAACATCATCGAAAAGTCTTCCTCCATTCTTACCAAGTTTCGGAGACAACACCATAGGGTTAGGGATAGGGTGAATCATGAACACCTCCTATTAAGTTCACCATTAAGAAAAGCGTTATTAACGTCGACTTGGCAAAGTTTCCACCTTTCCATGACAGCTAACGATGAAATCATCTTTATCGTGGTTGGCTTAATAACTGGGCTAAAGGTGTAACCTTTATAGCTCAGCTGCCAGCTCATAGCTTAATGCTTATCAAGGGGATACACAAGAATAAGCTGTTTATATGAATAACTGAGATAACCATTGCTCTTCAAGTGGTGATGGCATAATTTCTGAAACGATTTGCAGATACAGAGAGGTTGAATTGGGGACAATGGGGAACATGCATAGCAATAGCAGCAGTTTCTTGGCCTCTTGGTTGGGTTGTCGTATACTTTTTCAGGGTGGACACATATGAATTAATAGTAAAAACTTTTCGTATAAAACAAGTACAAATAAAATTTGAGGTGGACACTTGATGCATGTGATCCGAGACAGATGATGCTGAGCTGTCAGATTGCACTTTGATGGCGCTGAGATACCATGAATTGGCAGATCAACGCAAAGGCGGGAATTGATTATGACATGTTCCTCATTGAGGTCGTTTTGAGTATGTTTCAGTCTTTTGGCCATAACTTTGACTACAGGTGTCAGAATCGCGCATAAGACCTCAATCCAGAAAGCTATTTTCGACGCGCACGCTCTCCACATGAGCTACGCTCCATGTGGCCTTTTTTTCAACCTCAAATTCTGCCGTTTTCCCCTCCGAATCACTAGAATTAGATATTTTTTACTATTTATGGTAATATTTCGATTGTCAAGTAGGAAGTCAATTTAAATCCGATTTAGGCCGGATTTTTTGGAGATTGCTTATTTTATTTCGAATTTCAATTTAGAGTGATTTTCGAGATTTTGCTATTTTTGGCAAAATTCGAATAAAGACGATTTTTGGCTATAACAGTCCGGCTTGTGGACTGATTTTAGGGATTTTTTGATTTGATAATATTTTATTAAACCCTATAGAGTTTTTTTCTCTTGATTTTTTTGGGTGAATTTTCTCTTGTAAATCATCTGTTGGAGCGCTTGCAGGATAATCACTATTCAACACTTTTAGTAAAATAAGTAATTAATGTAAAGAAATTCAAATTTCAAGATAATACATCCACCATTGTCATCTAGGGACGACCGACTTCACTCATCTATGTCTAGGTCCATCCCTGACACTATCACCATTGTCACTTGGCCAATTGTTAGTTCCCAAGTGAGGAGGAAACATTTTAGGAGTGCTCGAATGATTGATTTGACCATTGATCGAATCAAATTTCTTAAAATCGAATTAATTGATTTTTTTAACTATTAATCAAACGAAAACATTTTCTAAAATAATTAACCAAATTGAACAAAATTCAGTTAATTTGATAACCTATCAAATTAATTGAAATTTTTATAAGGTTTTTTTGTTCGACTAATTTGATTTTAATAGATCTATTTTTTTGATAAATTTAATGGGTCTAGTGTGGTTTAAAACAATTAAGCTTTAATTCTGAGTTTGAGCTTGAATATATTAAATATTAAATATTTTATATTTTTGGTTAATTAATCAATTTCGAATCGAATTAACCGTTAATCGAATATTGAGAAAAATCATTCTCCGTCCAAATTAATTTCAGTGGCCGACCGTTTAACTAAACTAATTCGATTCGATTGGTTAATTTAATTAAAACTGACAAATCAACACCCTTAGATTTTACAAATTACAATAATTAATCAAGCATATCACATTTGTGTAATTACATCCAAATCCATCCAAAGGCAAAGCAGGGTCGATTTTATTTTGCAGACAAAAGGCACAGCAAAATCAGATATATAATCCATAAATAGCAATCATCGACAGCCCAACTCAGCTCTTCCTTCAGCACTGACGGTTTTGTTCGTACAAAGCTTCTGAAGATCAATGTATCCAATAATGGTGTCTTCGAAAACCGCATCTTCGAGCTGAGCATCGTCGAAAGTCGATCCGGATAACACCGTGTTCTTGAACACCGCCCCTTGCAGATTCGCCTTCTTGAAGTTAACTCGATCCAAAACCGCATTCGAGAAGTCCGTACCTGCACATTTATGTTCAAGATGCAAAGCATAAAGCATCCTAGTAAATATCAAACAAAGCGTATGTGTTTAATACGAATATATCATGTTTTTACATATATTTGGAATATCATACTCACATGTCCATGTCCGAGCATGTGATGGACACAAATGATCAATTATGACACAAAGAAGATACAGAAGATTTACTTACCTTTGAAGCTAGCTCCAACAGCATAAGCCTTTGACATCACAGCTTCAGACATGTCTGCCCCATCGAACTTAGCATCCGCCATAAGCGCAGCCGAAAGAGACTTCCCCTTCAGGTTTGATTTCTCGTTAGTGTAATCGCAGAAGCGGAGATCGAGCGGCTTATCATACACGCCGTTTGCCTGGCCTATCGTGTTACCGACAAACGCACGCTCGCATCGGTTTGGCTCGGTCGACAACGGAGGAAGCCTCTGCATATATGTTACATTTTTAGCAGCCTTTTGGCATTGTAGTTTTGAAACATGAGATGATAATGGAACATTTGTTCCCCCATCCCACAGCCATCCTTCGCCAAGCAAGCCAAGTTTTTATTATAAAATTTCATAAACTTCTTCTTTCAAATGATTAACAAGTGTCCCTAATTGTTTTGTTTGTTTGTTGATGGTGACAGTTCATCCTTTTCGATTTGAATGGAGAATTACAACCGACAGTTGAAGGAGAGAGGAACTAACGTAGATGATTCAGCGGGTGACAGATAACGTAGATGATTCAGCGGGTGACAGATATAACCTCCTTCAATCTTGCATGATGATTTATATACGGATTTTTGGTGCTGATCCTAGACCTGATATAAGCATCAAGGCCCAAGGGCATGTATATAAATCACCATGCAAGACAAGAGAAGGAATTTGTTTATCTCTCACTCTCATAATCGTCTTTCTCTAACCATCAGCTACTCTCCGCTCAAATCATAAGGATTAACCCATAAAAAAAACCACAACAATTTTGAAGGAACAGTGCAACACTATGCCACCCAAAAACACAATCTCCCCAACAATTTTGCACACGAGTTCCAAATTCATGAAAACTAGCAATTTAATCCATTAAAACTAGCAATACCATTATGTGCATAAACACAATGTTTAGTGTGTCCATTGCAAATCTTAACCCAGAAGCTTTGAACCTAAACAGATGCAGAGAAATGGTGAAGATCTTCAACCTGATTAGCAGCAATCACAGGCGAGGCAGTGGCAATGGCGCATACAGCAAGAAGGCCACAAGCTACAGTCCTCAGCTCCTTAAACCCAGACGAGCGTTCCTCGCTTTTGGGAACACGTCTGCTAGCTGCTGACATGGAAGAAAAAATGGGGTTAAATTACATATCAGTATCAAAACTAAAGAGATAAAACCCCAAAGTCCAAAACTTCACTTAAACCGAAACCATCACCAACAATTGACATTACCCACATAAAGGGATTTTCTTTCAAGCTTGAACCCATAGTCTAAAAATTCAAAAAAGAGGGGGGGGGGGAAGTAAAAGAATTTGTTAATTACCAGAAGAACAGCTGATTCTGAGAGGCAGGTGGAGTTGCTGAAGAGGATAACCATGGAGTTTCGTTGGTAAAGTGTTGTGAGAGAGTGGAGTTGAAAGGATCACCATTTTCTTGGGGTTTATACCTTCTTTTCCCTTTTCTCTTTTGATTTTATATATCCGTTTTCAGTTTATCCATTGACGATGGTTCTAGTTGCAGCAGGTTCATACATCTATCTTAAAACTTACCTGGCATGATACGTAGGATATGCTAACCGTAGCAGATTATTTTAAGGGAAAACTACACCAAATGATCACTCAAATTTGAGTAATTTTTCCTTTTTCCTACTGATATTTTAAAAATAATGATTTGGTCATTGATATTATCGACTCATAACAAATTAATCACTCACTACTAACACCGGTTCAGTTCACTATTAAACAATTGGTCATTAATGTATTCAATTTTCTGTTTGTCATGAGTTTCCAATGTCCGATTAAATTGTTTCAAGATGCATTAGAAGGGTAACCGAAATACGATTCATATGTAAGAAGACATCTCAACCTAAAAATTCTCGGGGTCTTATCCAAAAATTCGTCGTAAGTCAGTTGATATTTCAGGTTTCAAAATCAACTTTAATTTCTTATTCAAAATCATCTTTTTTATTATTATTTTCAAGATGCATTAGAAGGGTAACTTAATGCGATCAAACTTGATGTCTCAAGCGGCATCGGACAATGTCAAGTTAGTCAACTTGATGTCTCATGCGGCGTCGGACGATGGCACTGGTGTTGTCTTTCCAATGAATTGGAACACCGTCAACGGATTCACCCTTCTTTTAAGAGCGACTGAACCCAAACTACTTCAGTAACAGTGTCAGCAATGCTGCGATACTCCGCTTCCGTCATGAATCGAGCAACTGATTTCTGACGTTTAGCACTCCAGGATATCAAGTTGCAACCAAGAAAGAAGCAGCAACCGGTTACAGAGCGTCAATCATCCACATTACTGACCCAATCAGCGTCTGTAAACGCTGCTATATTCTGTGTCTGAGGAAGCTGCAAAACGAAAAACCATTCCATAGTCGATTGTACCACAGAGATAACTTAAGATTCTTTTTACTGCCAGCCAGTGACCGAGGCAAGGACGTTGCATATACTTTGTTACTCTATTAATGCTGAACGCGATGTTCGGTCTGGTGTGGCATAGATATAACAAGGCACCAACTGTGCTTCTATACAAGAACACATCATCGAGGGGTTTACTTGCATCACGCATCAACTTAGGGGAAATGACCATTGGAGTTGGGACTGATTTAGCACCACTCATATTAGTCTTTGTCAATAGCTCGTTGATAAACTTCCGTTCTCTTAGAACCAACCGCTCCGGGGTACGATGAACCTCGATGCCGAGAAAGTAGCTAAGTTCTCCTAAGTCCTTCAATGAGAACTGCTGACCTAATAGCCGAACCACTTGTTCAATAGCTTCAGTAGAATTGCCCGCAATAATGATGTCATCGACGTAAATAAGTGCGTAAGTGCGAGTGCCATCTTGCTGTTGTACAAACAAGGAAACATCTGCAGTTGTAGTATGAAACCCAAGACCAAGTAAATATTGTTTTAACTTGGAATACCACATTCTTGGAGCCTGTCGTAAGCCATAAAGAGCTTTCTTTAACTTGCAAACCAAGGGAGTGCCATTGCTTGAGACTTGCTCAAATCCTGGTGGTTGGGCCATAAACACGTCTTCACCAAGATCGCCATTGAGAAAGGCGTTATTGACATCCAGTTGTCGCAGACTCCAAACGTTTGACGCAACCAAGGAGAGGATGACATTTATAGTGGTGGACTTAAAGAACGGACTGAATGTTTCGGTGAAGTCTTGTCTAGGTATTTGCAAAAACCCTTTTGCGACGAGACAGGCTTTGTACCTAGCAATGCATCCATCGGCATGACGTTTAACTTTAAATAGCCATTTACAGACGTTTAACTTTAAATAGCCATTTACATCCAACGTGGTGCGACCAGCAGGGAGAGGTACAAGAGTCCATGTATCATTTTTCAACAAGGCATTATATTTCCTTCCACTGAGGACGAGCAAATGCTTGAGCTATTGGGTCGGGTTCATCATCATTATCACAGTCAGTTGTCTGACTAAGGTAGAGTTTTGGTTTAAAGATTCCTCTCTTGCTTCAAGTGATCATGGGATGCCCAACATGGGACAATGCTTCCATGGTTGGTTCTGGTTGAGAAGGAGAAGAACTGGATACAGAACCAAGATCAACCTTATCATTTGCAATTGGTTGAGTAGAGGAAGCATGTGGGGGTGACTGAGCAGGTTGAGAGACCGTCCCTTGTGCATGAATTGGTCGAGTTTCATGCAAAACATGTTCCTCCTGAGTAAGACCCCTACAAACCTCAGGTGCTCTAGGAACCACATAAAGAGAAGGAATAGTGCCTTGAGAATTCAAAGAAGCATTACTAGAGACTGCCCCATGATCAGAGTAGGAAAAGACGTGATCATCGAATACCACTTACCGAGAGACATATATACGACCATCCGTAGCTAAACAATAATATCCATGATATAGCGGCTGTATCCAAGGAACACACATGGCTTCGAGCAATATTCCAATTTATGCTATTAAAACGGGTGACGAAACGAAAAGCAACGACAGCCGAAAACAAGGAGGTGATCGTACTGAGGAACATGACCAAACAACTTCTCAAACGATGTGCTTCCTTGAAGAACCTTAGTGGGCAAATGGTTGATTAAACGAGCAGTTAAAACAGCGTATGACCAGAATTTGAGGGACAATGACGCACAAGCTAGCAAGGTCAATGCCATTTCAATAATATGGCGATGTTTTCGCACTACTACCCCGTTTAGTGACAACCATTGTTGCTCGAAGCCCCTCTGCAAAGATTAGATGTAGTAAAGCAACTGCCAGCAGAAGATTAAACTTAAAAGAGATATCAACATCAATTGCAACAGATAAAGTTCTTAGAAGAATGTGGCTAGAAAGAACTAAATGATTCGTGCCTAGCCATCTTCAGAAGAAAAAAAATGGAAAATCATGAAACAAATTTAGCATTTTTCTACGCATCATGTGCAATATGATAGATATAAACAAATATTTTTAACATTTTTTTTAACCAGGGGAGGGTGGGAATTGTGAAACAACCTGACATGGAGTAACATACAGAATATAAAACACTAAAAAGAGAGAAGAAAATGAGTGAAGGGCACAGAAGCAAAACGGATCAATAATGTAAATTGTAAGCTTGTCCTATATGCATTAAGAGTAAAAGGGCACATTAGCAAATCCTCACCTTATTATGCTCAGCAACAAGCCATGACTCAAATGCTGAAAACAGAAGAGAGGTGGCAATACCTCCCAAAACTCGACCGACCATCAAAACTCTGTATTCAGGAGAATGCTTGGTGATACAGCTAAGTATGTACGTTATGCAGTAAGTAACACACGCTCTCCTCCGGCCCCTGAATTAAACACATGAAGGTATTTTAATATTTCAACTAGATGTTTCATCCAAAAAGTATGGAAAGATTACAGAAGAAGTCAAAAGTAAAAACCTACTGTTTGCCAGCTAGAGATCCAACAACTGTCCCAAACAATATGGAGGATCCAAAACCAGCAATAAAAAGCTGTCCAATGTCCCCTTTTCCAAAGCCGTATGTACTGTAAAGATTGTAAACATATGGACCCTGCAGCCAGTCTCCAGCTACCGACACATGAACACCCATTTATCAAAAGAGCAAGGACTTGTGCCCATTAACCACGGTATAAGGAGGCTAGCTTTTACAATTACCATAACAAATATCTACAGGTAAGATCACATCTCCAAAACTAATTAAAGTAATGTAACTATGTAGGGAATTTTTCTTTTTCAAAAAGGATCCAGCCAAAGGAAGTAATATGCTTATGACGCAAACACTACGTCTTAATTTATACAAATAGAGAAACAATGTCATCAAAGACTTGTATCAAGAGCTGGATTAACCACACAATAAGATAAACAAGAAATGAATACAGGAAAATTTGAACGTCTGCAAAACACAAATTATTAATTTGTCAAAAGTTACGAGAACATAAAATGCTTTAAACGTGACTATGACGCGAAAAAGTATGCACGAATGCGATTCGAATACATGAATTGGCCACCAGGCCAAGTAGAATTACTAAACTCAGCAACAATTACATATCAACGCTAGGCCGCAAGAACAATTGATAGGTTGATCCCCAAAATGAGGTTGTTTCTTCATAAAACCAAGCAATAGGGACCTATCTCCAACCCATAAACAAAAAGGATCGAAACCCAAAATCATTCATTGTAAGCAATTTTGTTCTTATACCGTTTCCTTTTTCTTCAGCAAGCTAAAATAAATGCATATATCCCTTTCTCCCATTTTCCTTTTCATGACGAGCTCGTTTTCCATTTCCAAAAGCGAAGAAAAACAGTCCGTAACTTTCAAAGTAGCCATTAATAACAAAAGCATTACCGACTCACATAAAACCCACCACAATCACATTTTAGAAACGCAAATCTAAGGAATGGGTATCCAAATTCCAAAACTAAAAAGAATCGATCATATTCCATGTCTACGTAAAACAAAAGAGAGATCTAAGGAACAGGAATGTAAATCGGATCGGGTAAATTACCCATCATGAGAGAGTAAACAACAAGGTAATTGTTCTTGAAGGAATTGAAAGCAGGGGACGTGTTGATTCGATCCTTGCTGTCCTTGCTTAGCTCTAATATCTATACGAATAAAATGATCTCGTTGTTAAAAAAATTATTGTTATTCGTTGAAGTTTACATAAAAAAAAATTAAGGTACGAGCATTCAACGTCAAATGATAGAGAGATATATAAATATATATTGTCTTATATTTAATCCATATTAATAAAAAAATATAAATATCTCTTAGATAAAATTGAATCGAATAAAATTAGATTAGATTGGATCTTATGTGTGATTATGCAACAAGACAGTAAACTTATCTTCTATAACTTGCCTCCATAACGGATCTTTAAGAGCTTGAGCAATTGTTTTTGGCTCCAATGTGGAAGAAAAAGGATGGCATCCAGAATTAACTTGCAAGAATAATGAATTTAGTGATTTGGAGAGTAAGTAAAGCTTTGTAGCTCTTTCAAGTGTATGCAAAAGTTTAAGGACCGATTCTTTAATTTTTCTGACCTTCCTAATGTGCTGAATAGGGATGTTTAATGAGCTGAACAACTCGAACTCGATTCGGTCAAAACTCAGTAAAAACTCGACTGAAACTCGAGCTCGGCTCAAGACTTTAATAAGCTAAGTCGAATAAAGTCCAACTTGACTCGATAAGTTCACGAGCAACTCATTAATTTTTATAACTTTTAGTAATTATCTTAAAAATTTATTTCATTTAAAAATTTATTAGTTTACTAATAGATAATAAAAAAAGATTATAAATTACTAATCTATTAATTTTATAATAATTAATTAAAAATATTAAATTATTAATTAATTATTATTATTTTACTACACCCAAAAATCACCCTAATTATTTTTTTAATCTATTTATGGATTGTTAATTTGGTGTTTAGATTTTGAATTTGTTTTATATACTCTTTTGATAATTTTTTTGTTAAATTTATTAATTTATGCTTATACTAAGTTCTATATAGTGTTAGTAGCTTTTACTTATAGTTAAAAAATAAAATAAAAAATTCGGTGAGCAATAAGCTTAAAGAGCGATTAGTCGAACAACAAATTTTCTTAACGAGTAAGAGTCGAGCAAAATTTTAACGAACTTAACAAACAATGAGTAGTGTCGAGATATAATATTTTTTAACGAGCACGAGTCGAACACTGTCCAATTCGTCTTTAGTTTCTTCCATTGCTAAATCTTCTTCGAGCAATCAAATATTTCCAAGTCAAATCTTCATAATCTGTCTTTTTGTTTTTTTTTTAATTTCAGTACATATTTGATAAGCCTTTCTCAGCTTTCATTGGGTACCATTTTTATTAAATTGAAAGTATATGTGTTCTTTTTTCTAAAAAAGAAGAAAAAAAAGAGAGAAGCGTACGTGTTCTTAATCTATAAACCCCAAGAAATTGGGAGTTTGTGTAAATAAGATTATCTTTTAAAATATTATATGTTTTAATGCTTAATTTGATGAATTTTTTTTATATATTTTTTTAATGTAATAAATATAAAAGCTTTAATAACTAACCGAAGCCTTTAAGTAAGAGGGTCCTAAAATGTCATTTTCAAGCAGAGGCACGATAGTAGCAGATGCAGTGGGAAAAGAGAGCAACACGGGTAGTTCTACGGTAAAAAACGACTAATATACGACGTGAAACCCGTCTTTCCTGAGACAATCCCGAGCAACACATAATTCTGAACAATAGTAAGTTTGGCCATTCCATCGGCAGACATGTTTCCCTCGCGTGAAACCCAAAGGAATTCAGTATACCAGCTACAACAGCAAAGCGAGGAGATAGCTCGAACTAGCGGAAACAAATCCCGATCTAAATTGGCCTCCTTATAGTTATTAATATTGTCTCTTAAGGTTTGCATATAAACTGCTTGAAAAATGGAGAACGGGGAAGATGAATTGTGTTCCCGGCGTCTTCTACGTCACTGTAGCATTCACACCATCTGAAGAAATAAATCTGACAAGACCGTATAAGAACCAATAATTTTTTTTCACAGACCCATTTGGACGAGGAAGCTGTTAAAATTGTAGAAGTGAATGTGAGACATGATCAAAAATCCTGCAAGGGCAACCTGTACATTGTAATTTGATGCTGTTTGAAATACCGAAGACCCTCCTCATCAACAAGAACAAGATTCAAGTAGTACTTCACATTGAATTTGTTGTTAATATTGTGATGTGTTGGCGTCAAGTCATAAGGACTAAGAAACAGTCGGACCGGAATCGATTCACCTTCAAAACCAACCGTATTGTAATTCAAAATAGATATAATAAGGGTTTTATTGATTTACTCATTTTAGTCAACCATCTTTAAAAAATAAATAGAATTGCCGATGTGGTAATTTTTTTTTATTTTTTTAATGATGGTGTGACATTATATTATGGTAAAACATCATCACCATCATTAATTTTCTCGATAAACTGCATCATATACCACCAAACTTTACGCGTTATATCGTTTAGACTACTGAACTTTCAATTTTATCCATTATAGCACTAAACTTTGATTTTCGTTTCAATTATACAATTGAACCGTTAAATCGTTAATGGCATGATGACATGGCTAACGGTTGTTGACGTGCCTGATGACTATCACCGTAGATACCTCACCAAAAACGACATCGTTTTGATCTGAATGTTAACGATTTAACGGCCTAATGATATAATTGAAACGAAAATCAAAGTTCAATGCTATAATTGGCAAAATTGAAAGTTCAATGGTATAAACGATACAATGTATAAAGTTTGATGGTATCCGGTATAGTTTACCCTAATATTTTAATGACGGGTGACTAAAAGGAAACTAAAACGTAATGTTAAGTATGCTTTAAAAAAACAAATAGTTGAGTGATAAAAACAAAACTAAAGTGATAGTTGAGTGAGTACGTTGTTTACCCTATTTTGTTCTTAAATAGTCATTAGATAGAGCAGTCTATTAATATTTTATTCAATTAATCTAAACATTTTGATCAACTGATGAACATACCTCTAATAGGAGCACCATCCATCAGCTCAAATTTAGCTAGTGTTTCGGTCTCAACATGAGTAGTGGCTCCTGATACTGTTGACTCTCGACGCCTGATCTCAATATCCATACTCTTAACCTTGATCTTCACATGAATAAAATATATCTTCCCAATAATAACATCTTTCAAATGATACCTATGGAATTCGAATTTCAATTCTTAATTATATCAAATTTTAAGTTGGAACCTACATAACAAAAAAATTAGGAAGATGACTTGATACGATAAAATAAACAATCAAGTAGACCAGTTAAATCAGAAATCGATAATGTGTATAAAAATTGACTAAAAATTAGTTTAATAGATCAAAATTAATTTTTAATATATATATTTTAAAAAAATTATTTGTAAATAGTTTAGATTCTAACCTTTAATCTCTTAGTTGTATATTAAAGACAACACTGTTTATACAAGCATTTATCATGAGTTTAAACCTATGATTTCAGGTTTTAGCAATATCCATAAATGTTCAGCTTACTTGCTTTTATTGTACTCGAATTCGATGTGCAGGCAATCTTCAATTCCAACTTCCATCTGCAAAAGGGATTCATATTTGTCAAAATTAAATACGATTTATCAAAAGAGTTATTGGAAAAAATGATCACAAGAAGCGGTGTAATGAATTGCGATTGTCAGTCACCTTGATACTAGTGTTGATTGTTGGAGGTGGAGAATATTTGTGAACCTAATAAACCATAAATCAAGCAAAAAGTAAGGTTGCCAAGGCCGCATCATTCACAATTATAAATATCACCAAATAGTGTAATTCAAAAGTTCAATGCAGCAAAAATTCCAGAAATCCTGAGGAAAAACCAAAGACAATGATGCCGCCTTCCTGTATATGAATCAGGTTTAAGAACATCGACACATTTTTTATGCTTCATAGAATATAAAAACTAAAAAGAAAACAAGTTAGTACCAATGAAAACACTTACCATAAAGTTGGTGTATTCGACAATGCTTCCACCATAATTACGACAAACTGTTACTTTCAAGACATACCTGGGAAGAGCAAATAATAAGAAGTCTAAAATACAACCGATTAATATAAGGTTAAAAGATTATGTAAATAAATTATAATCGTAATAGAGTGTAACTTTTTAGAGTAATCTAGGTAACACTTTTAGGTTAAAATCGAAAATATTATGTTATCGATAACAAATTATATAAATTGCATAACTATTTCGGTTGTAACCTAAAAACTTATGTAATCAAAATTATTACCGATTGTGCAAACTTTTAGAGTAGATTTAACATTCTGGGTTAAATATCATTGCAATGTAACATTCTCGGTTGTAACCAAAAGTAAAACTGATTATATATAAATTTAGATTAAAAGGATAATATTTTAAGTAGAAACCCATCGCAAGTTAACCTTAGGTTAAACCATGTATAGTAGAACTACCCAAATAATCAAACTACTGTAACAAGACGGTCACATTATGCATCCCATCAGCAGGCCAACAAAACTTGAAGAATGGGGAAAAAAGCATTCTAGAGCTCCAAAATTAGCACATCATATTATACATATCAGACTAATTTCTAACCGCTATCAAGGTAAGTACACCAAAATATATCATCATAACAATCAAACTGGCTCATATATACCAAGAAAACTTCTAGTGCACAAGGGAAGAAATATCATCTTCAAAGGTTTTAAGTAGTGGATAGCATACCTAAGCCGCACATTCACACCATTATAAGATTCATATCGCATTTCAACCATAGAAAATTCGAATGGATAGGTTGTTCTTTCGTTTATATCCCCAGGACAATCCAATTCACGTACTGCAAAATTTAGGAATGTGAAAAATACTAGACAATACTAACCAGTTCATAACGATTCGGTTTAAATGGAAAATTTTCATGTACAATTTGAGCCTCTAAAAGTATCAAAGAAGAATACGGATAAACGTTTGCGAATTGAGCAAATTAGGTTGAGAGGGTCGCCTTCATAATGAGTTTCAATAAAATTTGATCCGGAATAGTCAATCAATAGATTCTATACCAGTGATTAAACAAAAAAATGAAGGATATGGATAACCATGCACTGCAAAGCACTAGTTTAACTCTTAAGATCTTACATTCATCCCAACCCACTTCACATGCAATTTAATGAAACTACTTAATGAAGATATAAACAATTTTCAGGAAGAGCAAACAGAAGGGAAGTCAGAAAATACTCACCAAGAGAGGTGAAGTCATAAAAGTTGCCTCTGTCAAAATACATCTCTGGAAAGAACAACCAGATTAGATTGACTTTATTATTTCTAATTTATGTTACTCGAACTCAAGTGTGACTGATACTCATATCGGAATATGCAAAGGTTCTAAGAGACGAACACAAATACGATCGAGAAAGATCAAATAAAATAAAAACTCTGAAGAAATTAGGAAAACGCTTAAACGTTATATTCAGCAGTTATATCAGAATTATAATTAAAAACTTGGACTGAGAGTGAAGGAGGAGCTAGAAGATAAGAAGAAACCTATTTGACCAAGGAGCTCAACTTTCACACCATTATGTTCAATTCTCTTCCCTTGCCGTGGTTCGATGGTGATCTGAAGGTGGCAACGAACAAAAAACTCTTCAACGCTATGATCCTAAATCTGTTAAAAACTAGAAAATTACCTTCCCGGCGATATTATCTTGATCTCGGAAAAGCGGTACCAAAAGCGTTTGACCATTTTCCTTTGTTAATGGGACCTAAATTGAAAAAAAAACAAATCCCGATGCAATAACTCGCGAAATATTAACTAAACAATCGATATGATCAAAACTAAATTTGCAGATCCAAACGAAACTAGAATCGAGATGATGATCAAGAGAGATTACCTTCTTGCGAGTCCTTCCATCGGAAAATTTGATCGAGATTGTACACACCGGCTTGAAAGCTTCAATCAAGAAATTCTAATTCAAACGAACAAACAAAAAAACAAGAAATCTCAATCGCACTCAATAAAACCGCAGTTTGAATATCCAATGAAATGAATGTGAGATAGTACCATGCTGTTACGATTCAATCGTTGTAAACCAAAATCGAGGGAAGAAACCAATTCATCAAGTTAATGCATGATTAGCTGACATTTGATTTTTGTTAAAATCGATCGTTTCAAGTTTCATGCATACACATCACAAATCACATATAATTTGGATAAACTATATCCGAGGTCATTTTGCTTTTCGATTTCTATTATTTTGGTCACTAAAACTGAAAATAATTACATTTTAACCACTTACATTTTTGATTTATTATATTTTAGATAAAATGTTAATTTTAGATAAAATTAAATCATTTTACTAACGGACCACGTCATCAAACTAACAACATTCAACATCCAAGTGACCAAAACTTAATAAAATGATAACGTAAGTGACCAAAACTTAATCAAACAATAAAATAAATGACCGAAAGGGTACAAATATGAAAGGAATGTAACCAAAACTTAATCCATGTATTATCTACGTGGAAATGATGTAATTTTAATTTTATATATTTATCGTGTCACATCAGTAAACCATTAAAGATTTAACTACGGTTAACCTTCAGTTACTACATCTTAATTAAAACGAGACAAAAATGACAAAATCTTAATTAAAACGAAATGAAAGTGATCAAAATTTTATGTTTTTTGAATTCAGTGAGAAAAAATTTATAAAACTCAAATGAAAATGATCATTTATGTAGTTTACCCTTTTAAAAATTATTTCATATACCTTATTTTTATAAAATTCAGTCTACATTATTTTTATATAAAAATTCCAATCGTCTTTGAGTCCTGTTTAATTTATATTAATTATTAACTAACAGTTACAAAAAGACAAAATAATATTTTATTCCCTTACGTATACTGCTTTATCAAATTTACTTTTCATCTCTAAAAGTAAATAAAAAGTTATCTTTAATCGAATATATAATTTTTCAATCTTTTATATTTACAATTTAAATTAATAAAAAAATTAAGATTAAATGATTAAAAAATATTTAAAATAGGGACCAAAATTGAATTATTTAAAATATGGACCAAAGTTTTCAAATAAAAATAATACGAGGAATAAATTCCACAAAAATAAAATATAATAACTAATTTTTTTTAAAATTTTGAAATAGCATAGGGACCTTTTACATATTTTAACCAAAATAAACAACATTACATACAGGAAACTACCACAATTTTGATATGAAATCTGTCTTAAATTTGTACTCCATAGCCAATAATAATGTTGATCAAGCATCTTTTAGAGAGAAAACGGGATGCATAACAAAATCCGAGTATGAAGTTTAGGAATTTCAAGAGTCCTGAGAATCTGATTGAAGGTTAGCAATTTGGGAAGCTACTAGCTTGGAGAGTTCATTAATGGCAGCTTGAACCTGATAATCATCTGACTCACTCTGGTTTTGCCTTGACCATCCAGGTAATTGTGAACTTAACCTGCTATATTCATTTGCGGCAACCCCGGTCTTCCTTGATGTGGCAAGAACACTCTCTAAATCAATTTGCGATAAGGGCCTCGGAGCCTAAAAAACAAAAAGAGTAATTTGGCCAAGAAACTCCGTAAGATAAATAATCGACGATTCGTGTTGCAAAAAATACAAAGGCTACATGTAAGATACCAGAGTTCATCGATCCTACACGCAAACTGAAGTTTTACTCATAGATAGGTCATAGGTGTGTGTTTAAGACAACTCCTAGAATCCCATCCTATGCCTCATTCCAACTCTTTATTTTTATTTTGAAATACTTGTGCCCAACACATATTTGGATAGGGGCATGGGGATATGATCCTCCAAAATATGGAAGAACTTTAAAAGACTGAACTTTCCAATATAGGGTATATTACTATATCTGACATTCAAACCCGAGCTCGAATAGCGTAGCTCACTGGGCAATCCTTTTGAAAAATGGAACATGGACGCAGAAAGAAATAAAAGAAAAGTGTACTTACTCCAGATGGTTTTCCTTTCTTCTCCTCATCCAGTAAGTCCCTAATAGGAAAGTAAGCGGCTTTCTTACAGAGTTCAAGAATATCGGACCCTGTGTACCCTTCACACAAACTGGCTATGAAGTCAAAGTTGATGTTTTCTTCAACATTCTCACCCTTCAAAATCACCTTCAGTATCTCAGCTCTCTCCCTGCGGTCCGGTAGTCCAATCTCAAAAGCCTGGGGAAGACGCCTGAGTATGGCTTCATCTAGTTCAGATGGACGATTCGTTGCAGCAAGAACCATAACTCGGGCATTTTCTGCACAACAATATACAATTATTCAATTCTGTATCGCAAATAAAAAATAATCCATATAACATTCTAGACAGCCCTTCGTAACAAAACTCGAAAAATGGTTCTTTGAATGGGAATGATAACAGTATATAAGAGCCTTTTGGTACAAAAATACTCACGATCAGTGGTAAACCCATCCCATAAAGCCATGAACTCAGTCTTCATGTTTGCCATTGCTTCATGATCTGTATTACGACGCTGTCCCAGAAAACTATCGACCTCATCAATAAATATAATAGCGGGCTGAAGTTTATATGCCAAGCTGAACACTGCAGCAACTGCATAGTAGAAGAGGAAACAAAAAATAAGATACAAGACGCATAAAAGAAAGGACTTAAGAGGGGGCTTTAATCCATTAAAAAATGCCTGATGAAAAAAGTATTTAATGATAGGGGCTAGCTTACTACTAACACATACTATGATAATCTTCATCCTTTTCGATCTTGTAACATTAATTTTTCAGGGTAATGATACAAAGAAAATTCAGGCCATTAATTATAAGAAAAAGAAGTCTGGACATGGAAGGGTTATGGCACATATTTACATGACAAATTCTTTTTGGGCCCTGGCCTCAGGAAAAAGTATATTCTATGAACCACCTCAGCAGTCGGCACAACGGTAGGGTGGTTGAACCAGTTTTCCCTTCTCTTAAAAGGGTCCGTTTATCTACATAAAGCGTCTTCTCACATTTCCACAAGAGTTAAAACTCCATAGAATAAATACCAGTAAAAGAAAGTGGCAATTCTGATCACTTTTAACCGTATGAATTAAAATGTAGTCGAAATAGATGCAAAAGCATCAGAATCAATAAGGATAGAGTAAACATTATCAAAACTTTACCAAGTTTCTGTGCATCACCAAACCACTTGCTCATCAGATTTGATATTCGCACATTGATAAAAACAGCTCCAGACTCCTTAGCAATGGCTTTAGCGAGCATGGTCTTTCCAGTACCAGGGGGGCCATATAACAAAACCCCTTTTTGAGGACCAAGAAGCTTTCCATGTGAAAACAGCTCTGGTCTCCGTAATGGAAGAATCACTAGTTCATAGAGAGATTGCTTGATGGTTTCTAATCCTCCAATAGACTCAAATTCCACGTCAATGTGATCAGAATTTATCACATCACATGCTATTACATCCTATTAAATGGAAGAAAAAAAGGAAGGTATAAGCATGCAAGCCACCATAAAATTAACAGTTATGATCCTTTGCTTCTATTCTAATACTGAATCTCGAAGCATACATTCCACCAAATATATATTTTGGAATACCGAACGTGCATGACTACCAAAGTATAGTGGTATGCATGCACTCCCAGATATGATAATTTCAAGTAAAGAGAAGGATATTAGTGAATATAATACAAAAACACGAAAGAAAACCACTAGAAATTTTTTTTAAAAAATCAAACAGAAAACACTAAAAGGCTGCAAAAAGAATCAAAAAAGAACACACGCACAAGGTCATAAGTCATGAGCTAGCATTCTGGTTTCCGGTAATATAACTAATCTGCATCAATCTGGATGAATTCTTTATTAACGGGAACCCAGATCCCAGATGGTAATTCTGAAGATATAGAAAGAATCCACGTTCATATAGTTTACTTATGTATTCCAAGCTAGTTATAGGAGTTACTTTATATTTCACACTGCTTTAAGCCGGTGGGCTGGGTGGTTACCACAGTATGGTTATCACATTGCATTTGAAGTAAATTGTAATTTGACCTCAATAGTTGTGCCAACACCAATTTTAATCCAAGTGTTAGTCAAGTATGATTTTAGCTAAGCAAAAAAAAAAAAAAAAAGAGGCAAGTACAGCTGTAAACGAGCTGAGTCGAATTCGAGTATTGCTGAGATCGACTCGACTCGAAAACTAGCGAGCCTAAAATTTTCAAGATCGACTCGAACTCGAAATCATGAATTGAAGCTCGTAATGAAAAAATCTTAAACTTAACTCAATTGAAGCCTCAAACTCAAACTTGAACCTTAACTATATGAAAACTTTATACTGTATTTAAAAAAATAACTCATAAATATTAATATTATTAATAATTTATTTTTTAAAATAAAATATTAATATATTATATTTTCGAGCTGTTCACGAGCTTTTCGAGTCGAGTATCAAGTAGTTTGTTTCGGCTCGATAAGAATTCGATTCGAGCTCGAGTAGAATATTTATCGAGCTTTGATCGAGTAGATCTGAAGTAGCTCGTGATCTGTTTACAGCCCGTTTACAGCCCTACAGGCAACAATCAAAGCAAGCAACCCTAGTATTCCTTTAGCAAGCTTTAATCAATTCTATGTTCAAAATTCAGATAAAGGGCAATCATTTAAATTTTAAAAAATTGCAATTCTGAACAACAAACTCCAGCCTATGAATCTATTCCAACCAAGCAAAACCCTAACGAAAAAAAACCCTAAAGAATCAACAATCACAGTAACGGATGACTAATTCTCACGTATTAATATAATTTTTCCACAAAACTATTCAAAAAAAATCCACTTATAAAAGGAAAGTAATAGAAATTATCATTTATACAAGATAAAACCCTCCCCAAAAAGAGTACCTCGTAGGTATTGGTATGGATCAGAGGACGACCCAAACGCTTAGCAATTTCCTTCTTGTGCTCCAATGCTTTTTTAGAAGTTTCCCGGTTAGGGTCGAGGTGCCGGAGCCCCGCGAAGAGAACCAAACAACTGAGGGCGGCGCTGGCGGCGTATAAAATCAATTCTTGCAGGAACTTCGTCTCCGACGAAGATGAACCCATTCTTCGCGTATATTGATTTTACCAATTTCTTTCTTTTATCATATTAGGAAAAAGAAAAACTTTCACGTTAAGATTTATGGGGTTCTAAATTTTAACAGAAGACGAAACAGAAAGACTTTTTTTCGTCGTCGACACTCGGAGGCCACTCAGCTTTCCTCGAATAAGGACCACGGAAACACTATGGGCCAGACCAGGCGGAATGGGTTGTGATCGACCCGTAAAGTTTATTATTATTTATTTACATTAAAATATTTTAAATATTGTTTTTATCAAACTTTTAAAATATTATTTTTAATTTTTGTATTTACATATTTTATATTGAAAATAAAATAATAAATTATTATTATTTTTAATTTATAATTAAAATTATAAAATCTCTTTTTATATAAAATACCTCATTCTCGAACAAGCTGAATCTTTATCCCTAATAATCAATTGGAAGGCTACAACTCCTTGATACACTGTAAAACAAAATCGATCTAACCTGAAGCTCGAAAATCAAAACATTGTCACCTGAAATACTAAATCTGGCAAACAAAACTTGCAACTCCGACATAGATTTACGACTCAAAGCATATGTTACAACGTTAGCTTTTCTCAGATTATACTCAATCGAACGGTCGTAATCCTCTAGCAACTCAATCCAACACCTTTGTCTCAAATATAACTCCTTATGGGTAAGGAGGTAGTTAATACTCTTGTGATCGGTATAAATGATACGTCTCTCACAATAGATGATGACGCTAAATTTTCAAAGAAACAAATAATTGTGACTAACTCCAAATCATGTGTCGGATAATTACGCTCATGCGCCCTCAACTGCCTCAAAGCATACGTTACCATTTTACTCTCTTATAGCAATACACAACTAAAGTCGACAATAGAAGCATCATTATAAATCATAAAACCTTTCTTGTACTTTAATTAAATCAAAACTGGAGTTTCAGTCAGCATTAACATAATTTTTTTGAAACTACGATGTATTTCTTCTATTCACTTGAACTTGACATTTTTTAAAGTACACTAAAACAACAGTACATTAGCGGCGTTTTTAAATATAAACGCCACAAAATGGTAATATTACCAGTGTTTTTGGGAAAACGTTGATATTTACTTATCTCTTGTGGCGTTTTGTAAAAAAACGCCACAATAAATCAGTGCATTAGTGCCGTTTATATCTACAAACGCCACAGAATTGTAAAATTAGCGGCGTTTTCCTTCAAACGCCACTATTGACTTAATTATTTTAAAAATAAAAGAATATCTATTGTGTTTTGATATTCAAATAATAACAATTACTTTTTATCACGGAGATCATTTGATTCGTATTTTTATATTTTAAATTATCAATATTATAAATAAATATATTTAATGAGTTCATCAATATACTTATTTTTATTATCTCGTATTTTTTACGTTATATATTTTAAACCAACGATCCCTCACCCTGATGAAAAGTTTGAAGTCAGGATATTAGTGCATTGACTTATAATTTAATTGAATAGATTAAATGTAGCATGGATGTTCATTGGATCGAAATTGAATTCAATTGATTTATGAAAAAGATGATAATTTATTATTAATAGTAACATTTTAGATTAAAATAACGGGAATGTCATTATCTTTAAATTTTTAAGTAATGAACACTTCCCATCATTTTGGACATAAATACCCTCCTGAAATAATAAATATTTTTTTTATATAAATCCTTATCAATTGTTATTCTTAGTGCATTATTCAAAATTATAAAATGTTGATAAATTTGAGTGTTTAAAATTATTTTATATTTTTAATATTTAATATATTAATTATTTTATAATTTTATGAGGTGAAAATATTATTATTTTCAAAAAAATGTTATTTTTAAAAAATATTTAATTTTAAGTTATTAAATAATAGATCTTATACATTAAAAAATAATATATTTGTCCATTCGAGATCCTAATATTATTTTTCATATTATTTTATGTTTTATATAAATAAATATGATACTTTTGAAAATTATTTAAAATTATAAAGCTTGATATATTAATTATATTAATTATATGTTAAATGTATTTTTTTAAACTTAGATAGTATAATAATAAAAATATTTCAATAATTTTTTATTTAAATATTTATAATATTAAAATTTTACTTGTTAAAAAAATATATATCACAAGGATAATTTGGTAAAATACACATTCAAGTAATCTTATATTTTTCCAATCAAATATTGTATTCTCACATTCTTGCTAAGCAAACGAAACATGATAATACAATATTCCTATAATAATGTTACATTCCGATAATCTTACTTATGATAAAATATTTTTACGACCCTTCGCACACTAAGAATAAACTTTTTGATAATCTTTCTGGTTTATGCAAAGATTATTCCTATTTCTTACTTATGAAATGGATTGAACTCCAAGTAGGGATGACAATGGGCCGGTTTTTTTAATAAATAAAGTAAAACTTTTTTTTTTCTTTTTAATTAAAAACAATATTTTTATTATTAAAAAATTAAAAGTTAAATGGTAGCCACCTAAAAGTATAACCGAGAAAACGTTAGATACATATTTTTAACGAAAAACTCTTTAGACACTAAAACATTTTTCAAGACATAATTTAAGCACTTATTTATGTATTAATCCTTATAATTACATACAATCAATCTTTCAAAAAATTGATTTTTTTTGTAATTGTACTTATTAATCATTTGTGTATTTCTTTTATTTTTTAAATATTCACTCATTTTTTCATCGACCTCGATATATATATATGTGTGTGAGAAATATAATCAACTTACACTATATAAAACTAATAAGTTTTAGACCAATCTATAGCTATTAGATTTAAATAAACAAATTGTTTAGATTTAATTGAAATTTATTACTCGTAAATTAATATTAGTTTTAGTTTTACATCTTTTTTTGATCGTTGGATTGATGGAAATAAAGGCTTAGATTAACTTCTTATTTTTTTTCAATGAATATCTTCTCATTTTATACTGTTAATCTCAGCCTATAATTTCTCTCATCCAATGGTCTAAAAAGATTTAAAACTAAATGAGTTTTACACAATGTAAATGAAGCATGCCCCTGTATAGGGTTGAGATCTAATTACATAGTGTAAAATTATAAAGTTTTACATATTTTTAGGATCGTCGGATGAGGGGAAATCAAAAGTTGAGATTAACGGTAAGAAATGAAAAGATATTTACTAAAAAAAAGTAAGGAGTTAATCTTAACCTTTAACTTCCCCGTCATTCAACAATCTTAGAACAATGCAAAACTCTTTGAGGATCATTAGATTAGAGAAATCAAATATCAAAATTAACAACAGGAAATGAGAAGATATTTCACTCGAAAAAAAAATAAGGATTTAATCTCAGCTTTTGATTTCTCTCAATCTAACGGTTCTAAAAGGATGTAAAACTCTTAAGGATTTAAACATCCGACCTTGCTTAAGAAACTTAATACCTTATCCCACAAGGCCAACTGAATGTTGGTTATCAAAACATAAATTTTTGTATATAAAAATTTATCTTACAAAAAGAAATGAGATCCACTAACGGACCAAAATCTGTCACTAGATGCATAAAAACCGTCAGAAGAGACCCAAATGAAATATAGCGACGTTTATATGGCCTGCTTAAAAACTTGTTAGATTAATTTTGGGTCGGGCCTGGGACTTTGATGTGTCGAGAATCAGCAGCAGAAGATTCTTGGAACGGGCCTGAAGGAGCAGTCCGATGATTATCACTATAAACCAATCCCGCAAAAGACACTGTCCATCGTTGTGAGACGTACTTGTTTCTCTCGAGATTATTATTATCCATTTCTATAGTTTTGCCTCGTATCAATGTCGCCAGGTCCTGTGGTTGAAGCCGCCCAGTCTGAATCTGAGCAACTTCCTTCTACTGAGGAGGAATCCAAGAAACTGCCCCAGGTTTTCCTTCCTTCCTCTCAATTTTTTGTTCCTTTTTTTTAAAAACAAAATGGGAACAATATGTTGATACTGTGTTGTTTACAGAGCGAGGAGGAGGGTGTTGTTGAGGACGTTAAGGAAGACGACGACGACGACGATGATAAGGAAGACGGTGCCCAAGGTTTTTCTCTCTTTCATTTTCTTTAAAATTTCTGTTTGGGTCTTTTGAGTACGAAATTGTCTGTGGAATTGCATTTTCTTATGAAACTGGAAATCTGCAATGTATCTTTGTCTGCTGTTTTCTGCTACTTGTTTCAAATTTTGATGTCCTCTAGATTTGATTTCCATTGTTGGGTTTTCTTTAAATTTGTTTCTCAGAATCCTTTGAATTAGAAGAAAATCTTCTGGTTAATGCATATTTGTTTATTCTCCTTCTAATCCAACGATCAGGGATGGAGACGAACAGCTGACCCCATGAAAATTTCAAACTCATATACAATTCAGATATTCTTTATATTTTCTATTAATAATATGTGTCCCCTCTAAAATTTTATAAAGTTTGATCCTAATATAGTCATGTGTTCGTATCGGCCAACAATCGGCTGCTATGTACTCTTTTGTATATATTTGATTTCGAATCATTGTGAGCAGGTGCCGATGGAAGTTCGAAGCAAAGCAGGAGCGAGAAGAAGAGTAGGAAAGCGATGTTGAAGTTGGGGATGAAGCCTGTTACTGGTGTAAGCAGGGTTACCATTAAGAGAGCAAAAAATGTATGAATTCTCTGGGTTTTGTTTTCAATATTGTTGAACTACCTGGTGAATGGTGAGGAATTAACCTAGTTTCTATTGGATTCAGATTCTGTTCTTCATCTCGAAACCCGATGTTTTCAAGAGTCCGAATTCGGAGACTTATGTCATTTTCGGTGAGGCTAAGATCGAGGATCTGAGCTCACAGTTACAGACTCAAGCTGCTCAGAAACTCAAGATGCCCGACATGTCATCTGTGATGGCAAAACCCGACACCTCTGCTTCAGCAGCTGGTGCACCCGCCGATGAGGAAGAGGAAGAGGAGGAAATTGATGAGACTGGGGTTGAACCTAGGGACATCGAGTTGGTCGTGACACAGGCCGGGGTGTCGAGGAGCAAGGCCGTCAAGGCTCTCAAGACACACGATGGGGACATTGTTAGTGCTATCATGGAGCTCACCACTTAGTTGGACTCCATGTTTTTCTTATCTTCAGCTGTCGCTATCGCTTTCGTTCAATGGATTCCGACTAGTTCTGGTAATTATCAACTCCTGAAGATAATTTTGACAGCATTTATATGCAAAATAACAATGTTTTTTGTTCTCTTGAGAGAAGCAGTTGATTTTAATGCAAAATAAGCTTTAATGGGTCAATATGCACAAATCGGAGATAGAAGCAGTTATATATATGCTCTTGTATATTAACTAAACAGATATATACATAAATTTTAGTACTCAAAATCACTGCCGCAGTTTCTAACTAAAAGGGAGGCTCTAAATGAAAAGAATGAACAATGCACATGACGAATTACAAGATCTTTGATGTGCTAATCAAACCTGTAAACAAGATTAACAGGATGGCCACCCGGAAAACAACGGTGAATGGCTTACGTGAGCGACGGCGAGCTGAAAACTTCAACCACCGAGATGAAGTCTCTTCATGAACCGAAACAATTGACTTGGACAACAAGGAAGTAGTTTTACTCGAATTAGAAGGGGGTGTTTCCTGAGGTTCGTCCATGGTGCCACGATCAGCATCACAGCCAATGATACCCTTTTCTGCTACTTCTACCTCCTGCAAAGACAACGTCATTAAGGTCCAATGCTATCTGGATATGACACAGGTTTTTATACAAGCATCAATCACAAACTTCTAACCTTTGTAACAAACGATTTTGAATCATCTTCTTTCTCTCCAAAACTCCAGTTGTTTATTGCACCGTTACAGTAAAGTGAGCCGACCTGAAGGTTACACTGCAGACGTATTCTTCTTGCCGCATTACCCTGTATCATTGAGTTCCCACTGTCCAGTTGACTTCGAGAAGGACGAGACCTAATCCTGATTCCGGTGACAGGACTATCAACATTACAAGATGTATCTGTATGGTTGCTGAATTCTCCATTACTATTTAGCACATTATAAAATGGCACTGCGCTGGAAAAGTTGACATCCGGCATGCAAATCGGAATTGCACTAGGAGCCCCCTTGTTGATGTTGTCTGTCCCTAGCTGCTCCAAAGGAAAATTCTTGTTATGATGAACAATATGCAACTACAAGAAAGAGTACATGATATGATGAACAATATGTAACTAGTTAGCTTCTACTCACCAGCAGGTCAGCCGCTTCACCATCTGATTCACTGCATGATCCGCCATCCTTATCAAAGGTCATGGCCTTAGGGGTCTCGTAATCCAAATTCTTCAGGCCGACGGTTTCATCACTGTAGCAGTCGTCCGAATTATTCATGATGGAATCCAAGAAGTTGGAAATATATGCATCATTCTCATTTGTGCCATGCTGCAACTCCACCCCACTGAAACCTTTTCCAACATGATCAAACATCCAAGGCGCTTGCTCCGCTTCAATCTGATTGTGCAACAGAGAAAACAGTGGCTTCCCCATGGGATCGTAAAAATGATTCAAAGCTTCTTCAAGTAGATCCACCTGAAAAATCGAACAATGTCAGTGCCGCCGATATTATAGCAAAATATAAATCGAAATTCAGGGTTTCTCCCCTTTCTCACCTCTGCTGGGGTTATGTCTGCCACTCGATCCAGTTCATCGTAAGCTTTATAGCCATCCCAGTCGCACTCGAGTTTAGGTTCAACAGCTTTAGAAATTACTTCACCGGGCGGACCGGAAGGACGAGTTTCACCGGTTTCGGACACTTTTTCGACTTCACCTTCAACGACGGGGGAGTCTTGAGGCAATTCTAACACCGATAGCATGTCTTCAGTCGGAGAGAACACAGCACGATCAACTTCATCACCGTTGATATCTTCAATGGTCTTGTCTTGTTTATGGAATAGACGGCAAATCACAAACGCATTCTGCAGGAGAATCGAAGACAACAATATAAGAAGAAAAAATCAAACAATAATCTAAAGAAGAATGCAATTCAATCAAGAACAACAACATATTAGCCGTATCTTAACGTTTTACAAAGTAATTGTGACACCACAAACCTCTACGTGTGCAACATCCGCAACCACGATACCGCAACAACATCAGCAATTTAGTACTATGCAACTAATTTTCCCCATCAATACTATAAATTGGACCATATTTTCCATCAAAATAAAAGCTAAAACAGAGGTGGGAAGAAAGAAGTAACCTGTCCAGGCTTGGTGCTGTCAAGCTCATCGAGGGTAGTACGGTACTCGTGCATAACCCAGTTGGTCCGTTTTCCTCTAGGAGCCCTTCCATTATAGAACACCAGAGTTTTCTTCATGCCGATCAAGCTGGACCCAGACTTGATCTTGCGATCCTTACCCGTTGCCTTCCAGTAGCCGGCCTCGGTCGCCCTGTTGAGCCTATTTCCGGTTGGGTACTTCCGGTCGATAGGGCAAAAGAAAAACCACTCTGGGTCTCGAGTCCTTATGGCGGATAAGTGAGGCAAATCCCATGGCTCGCATTTGCAGACATCGATTTCACGAATGACTTCAATCTCGTCGTGTTTCTCCCCGTTTATCTTTGACCGCAAGTAAAAATCGATCAACTCCTCGTCTGTCGGTCGGAATCGGAATCCGATGGGAAGTGAATTCAGTAAGAGAACACCCATGCTAGAAACAAAAAGGAAAAGAAGGATTTTTTCGAAGATTTTCGGAAAACCCAATGAATTATTTTCTGTTCAAGTGGAAGAAGAGATGATTGAAATGGGGAAAATTAGAATTTGGAAGGATTTAGGGTAAGAGTTTTAAAAAGGAAAACGCCCCATAGGATACTGTGGAGAGGAAACAACAAGGAAAGAGCTTGGAATTTCATCATCGTTTTCTTTTCCAATTTCAACGGCCATACTTCCACCCGCCCCGCGTTCCATCCGTGTGTGGATTTTGTAGTTTCATATTTGATTATATTTTCTCCTAAGTCCATGTAATATTCAAGTATTTATAATTTGATCCTATTTTTTCCAACAACCATAAAAAAGTTTCAAAAATATCATAAAAAGTATAGCTCTATAACAAATTATTAATTAATTTAGTAAATAAGATATTAAATTTCTTAAATAAAAGTAAAAAATTTAATATTTATATTATTTTTAGCGTAAAATACATAAATGGTGTATTGACTCTAGTGTACTACTTTATTAAGTCAATCGATAATTAATAGTTACAAAACGATCATCTGATTATTCAATATAGTTCCATTAAAAAAATTAGTGATTGTCTAGGCTGGACGTTAACATAATAATTGCGATATGATAGTCGTTTAAGATTATAGATCATATTTTATCATATCATAATCAACATGTTAATGTTCAGTTCAGAATACCGTCAAATTTTTAATGAAAAAGGACGAGTTTAGAACATAATAAATAGTCGGTGACCATTTTATAACTTTTAATACTCGAGAGATTCAACAAAAGAACACTCTAGAGTTTATGATCATTTTTGTAACTTTTAATAGTCAATTGACTTAATAAAACAGTACGCTATAGTCGGGAAACCATTTGTGTATTTTACCCTATTTTTTAATAGTTTAAGATGATTAATAATATTTGTTCAGAATTTTTTTACTTTTAGTCGTCAATAACGCACAATACCTACAAACGCAACTACATATCCTAGATCCTCTACAGATAAAAATATTCTTTTAAACCATTAAAGTCACTTGATGAATTCATAATATTTTATATTACGAATGATAAATTTATTATAATATTTGATTCAAATTAATTAATCAATAAATCATAATTATATAAAAGTAAATCCAAAATATTAATTTATAGTTGCCATTTTTTAGTAAAAGATTCCCTTCCATTCCAATGGTTTGGTTTTGTGTCAAAATTCCTAACATTTACTCGTTTAGTTTAGTTTTGTGTCCACAATGAGTAAGCTATCCAATAAGGTTTTAACACGAGATGATGATGTCATGATTAGAAGCGTGGGGTCCATATTGCTTACGTGGCTACTTATGAAAGTTCTACGAACATTACTAGTACTACTTGATCTGTTCCTTTCTTTTTGGGTAAATTAAGTATTTAGTAACTATTAATTTTGGTCTATTTTAATATTTAAATTTTGAGTTTTTTAAAAATCAAACTTAAAGTTTAGTTTTTATTTTATTTTAATAGACTATATTAAAAACTTTAGTTTTTATTTTATTTTAGTACCTCGTTCAAAGTTTAAGGTTAAGTTTTGAAAAAATTAAAAGTTTAGATACCAAAACGGATCAAAATCGACAGCTTAGTTACTGAAAAAATGAAGTTTTTAACGTTGATGTACAAAAATGAAATGAAAACTAAACGTTAGGTATGTATTTTGAAAAAAAATTAAAAATTTAAATACTAAAACGACCAAAACTAATAGTTTAGGTACTAAATATATAATTTATCATTTTTAAAGCTTCCATCTCGATTTCTTCTGTGTATATGAACTTCTTTAATTTGAACTCTATTATCAACATCTTACTTGATCAACAATAGAATCATATTTTACTAAGTTATCTTAATTATATTTATAATTTATAGAATATTAATTTATAATATTGACGAGACCATAAATTTATATAAGGATTTTACCGAAAAATATCTTATTAATTTATCGAAACTATTAATTTAGACCATAAGTCCAATTCGGGACTGAAAAATTATTATTTTAAAGAGATTGTTAGAGAGGTTCTACTATATCAATACTTAAATAACATAAACTATGTTTCTTCTATATAAAATTCATTTTATAACATATATTAAAGTAGACCCCAGCCCCTTCTGGCTACATGAGTCATGGAGTTAGGCCCATTGCCAAACTCCGTATAGGGTTCTTTCCATTCGGTTGTACATAGATTTCATCTTAATTTTCTTCAAATTGCACCATGGTAAAAATAATTGATCAAATTTGAACTTTGAACAATTATATCCATTATTAAGAAATCAAATACGTGAACAATATTTAGAGTAGGTGGTTAAAAGTTCTTAGTTGACACATCTTTTATTCCTTAAATTGCGGTAGGGACAAAATTAGGATAAAATGTTGTGGAAGTGGAGCAAATTTGTTTTATATCAAAAGAACGAATTTATTATAAAAAAATATGTTGGTTTAGTGGGATGAGACATTAGATTCTTTAAGTAAGATCAGAGGTTGACGTTTGTGAATGAAACAAACTGAGTTGGAGAGGTCGCCTTCGCTTTTGCAGTACGCAATAAGGATATGAATGACTAAGGGAGGCGGGTGGGGGAAATCATCACTCGTGAATTGGGATTTCATTGCTCAGCCAAAGATTCATGGTGGTCTTGGATTGCGGAAACTTGCCAACCGTAACTTGGCTTTCCTCTTCAAAATCTGTTACGGCCTTACACTGATAGTTACTGGGTTAATCTTCTTAGACACAAATATAAAGTATCGGAGGTCTGTCCTCCCTCGATCCATCCATGAGGCTATTCAGCGTATCCGTGACATTCCTCCTCCAGCTTTAGTTCCGAGTGTTGATGGTTGTGTTTGGGATAGCGACAAGCTCGGCATTTTCTCGGTCAAATCAGCTTACACTCAGTTATCAATCCACCACTGGTCTCCAAAGGATAAAAAATGGACCTTGATCTGGAAAATCCAAACTCTCAATACCGATGGAGCCGTTAATCCTCAATTGTCGATCAGCTCTGTTGGGGGGGGGGGTTTATTCGTAACCACAATGGAGATTGGCCTCGTTTCACCATCCGTCCTTCACTCTGAACTATGGGATATTTTTTATGGCCTCGTTCTGGCTTGGTCCTATGGCTATAGAAGGGTTCAATGTCAAACCGACAGCTCTGAAGCTTACTCCTTGCTTACGGCCCCTAATCTTTTGTCATCCACCTTGCCTCTCGTTCGCATGATTTGCCAGCTTCTCTCTGGGGCTTGGTCACTTGATTTTAAACTTATCAAAAGGGAGTCCAACATGATTGCTGACCACCTGGCTAAAGCTGCTCGCAACACAGACGGTCTTACTCGGGTTTTCTCCTGCACATTTACTTAACTGACACCTTTTTGTATGTAATATTCTCTTTTTAACACATCCTTTGGCTGACGTGACACAAAGACGCATTTCTGGGAATACGCTTTCACGAAATTCTGATGACTCGGATGTCACGTGTGGAAGACACATCCCCGGAGACGCGCCTTCCATTAAATGTTATAAATACCTCTATCCATTTTTCCCCAACTACCCATCCTCCTCCCCTATATAAACCCCCTCAACCCTACCTCATTCTTCACACCAAAATCATCTTCTCCCCTCTTATATAACTCAAATTCTCCAATTATTTGAGTTTTAAATTTCTTATTAGTGGTAAGAAATTTATTTTTAAGTTAGTATTTTTTTAAATAGTTTTATATTTTATAGTAATATAATTATATAAATATTATTTTTTATTAAAATAATATTTATATAATTATTATTTATTTAAATTTATTAATTAATTATATTTTGTGCTAATTATATTTTTTTGTCTACAGTTATAATAGAAAGTGAAATGTTGCTGCGATTAGATGCTGACCATATCTCCAGACATTTATAATATTTATTATAAAAAATTAATTATTAATTTTAAAATATTATAATAATTATACCTTCTAATTAGAGAAAAAATGTTAAATTAAACAAATTAAAAGTAGACTAAATTGATAAAATATGTAACTATTGAATTTTAAATGTGTAATTATACTAATTTTATTAACTTATGCATCAATATTTTCTTTAAATATTGATAACAAATGATTAGATTGATAACATTTAAATAATTAATTGATAAAATTAATAGATCGATAATAAAAAAACAATAGATATACAACAATACGTGTAATATTATAATTTCATACATTTAAAAAATATATTCGATAATTCTTAAATTATAATCGAAACACTTTACATAACATATTAATTATTTATAATAATAATAAAAATAAAATCTTTATTATTAAAAGAAATACCAGCGTGACATCTAACTCAGCAAAACCTAAATGGAATGCGCGTCCCCAGGGATGCACCTTCTACACGTGACATCTGAGTCATCAGAATCCGTAAAAGCGTATCCCCGAAAATATACCTTTGTACCACATCAATCGAAAAGGTGCTACTTCATAAAATATTAATCAACAAATGTTAAAGAAAATATTACAAATAAAAAAGTATCAGTTAAATAAATGCGCCGGTTTTCTCCACAGCACCTCCAGTTCTCCAATCTGTTATGATTCGTGATATCCAAGGGCCTCCCTATATGAGGTCTATTGCTCTATAATGTAATTGGCTTTGACTCCTTGCAATTAAAAAAAAAAAGCACAAAATGGGCCACCAAATGATAATGGAGAGAGAGACAGGGCTCCCCTTATTGGGCATGGAGACATGTGCGTGAGCGAATAAAGGCTATGAGTAGGTAGGCCGGCTCCAATCTCAACCTACGTTAGCATTATAGGATCAACAAAAGACCATGATTTGAAAAATATATCTTTTTCACTTGATTTAAAAATTATATTCAAATTAATTCAATTTATGATTTTATAAATTCGATTCGATTTAAAAAAATTTAAATTTGATTTAAGTTATAAAATATAATTCAAATTTTTTAGAAATTAGGGTCACTTTGATATAACTTTTGAAAATTAGCTTTTTAAAAGTATTGTAGAAATAAACTTTTAAAAGTTATACACAAAAGTGAAGCTTAAAATTTAATTGT